TGTAATTGGTCTGTATTAAATGACTAAGCATTTTTCCCACATCAGGTGTTCCCAGACTTACTCAGTGATGGCTGAGTTGCTTGTGTGTTTGTGTGTCTACATGGTCTGTAATAATGCGTGCCAGGGCAAGGCACACTGCACTGGCCCTGCCTTCCCTCTGCCCTGCGGTCATAGCAGGCCGGGCCAGCTGTCAGTGGAGTCAGGAGAGTGTGAGAGCGAGAGGTTGTTGAGTTATGAGTGACCTGGTTTTATTTCAGCAGGAATTTCCCTTGTTTCAGCAGTGTGAGAATGTCGCTTTCGCCTCAACACCTAGAGGTTGTAGAGGTCATGCACCCAGATGAGTTAGGGCAATAATCGATGTTTTGCCAGTGAGGAGTTGGAGAGCGGACCCAGTGTCATTGGGCTGGTGGTCAGCTCACAGCATCACACAACAACACACACACACACCAGGCAGGCACACACACACATGCAACACAGGCACACACACCACCACACAGCAGCACAGCAAAACAGGCAGGCACGCACACACACACACAGGCACGAGTCAAAGGCCCAGCCCAAAAACAAAAAATATGTTTGTATAGTAGATGTAGATTTTGCCTTTTGTTAACCAAAAGAGCCACTGCGTGTAAAAGTCAAACATCAAAGTGCATTTGTATGTGAGTGCTTTCTTGCTAATGCTGAACTGGGCTGATCTTGCTGTTAGAAAGCACAAGCGCTGCATAAATATAGACAGGCTGTACATTTTTAAAAATAAAAACTAAAGCTATATTTCTTATAGCGTGTTATCAGAAAATCTGTATATCAGTGTAACCAGTGTGCTGACCTTGGTACCAATCCAGCTTATCCTTTGCATGCTGGGATCATGTAAACGAGGAAGTGGTTGAATAGCTCCCCACAAATGAGGGAAATGCTGACTTTGTCAGCCATTGATGGAATCTGTCTAGCTTTGTGAGAGAACGCTGGCGACCCTTGCAGATCCCCTCCCAAGTCCCTTTTCCACCAGGAACAGTAATTGCAGGCGTAACAATAGCTAGCTTTATCGTTCAGCCGCTCTGTGTCCGGTGTCATGTGCAACAGAGACGTCCAGGTGGTCACTAATACTTTGATAAAGTGCATTTAATGAGTTATGGGAATATTAAATTATATACCACATGACTGGCACAAGTATGTTTTTGTAAGCATAGGTCACAGGATGGAGGCTACCACCAACGCGTATTGTGGGTTTTGCTGATAGGAGGAAAATGTAAAGGTATCTGGTCCAACTGGTCAATACAAACTTTAAACTATCTTCAACTCGATGCTATATTGGGTAAAACCTCTTATCAAACTTCAGCCTGGTGTCTGATCTGCACTGCAGATTGGGCTGTTATTTTATTTCCCCTACTTGTCTAAACTGGAGGTGTTTTTGTTCCCTGACACTGACGTGCTGCTCTGATGTGATTGATCACTCACCTGCTGAGCTCAATCAGACAGATCCTGACACATCACAGTATCAATGTAGTCCGATGGTCAGATGGTGTTTTAAACAGTCGCCTCACTCATTAAGTTCATGGCCTTTTGCTGTGTGATGTAACAGCACTGCTCGTTTCCCCTGAATCTTAATCAGCCTGATATTATATAAAAATGTTGTAATATTATGTGACGTTAGCTCTTTATTTCAGGCAAGGTGCTGCTTGAAATCTTGATAGAGGATAACAAGAGGATAACATCTTTTTGATTAGATATAAAATGATCCTTCTACTTCTGGGTGTGCTTGATGTATTCCTGTGCTGTACCTTTCTTTTTCTGCAGTTTATTCAGTGCATTTTACTTGCCCTTTTGTGTTCTGAAGACACAGCCTTAAATGTCCTGTACAAATCACTTTTTGGCTGATTTTAATTAACCTGACATGTGTCTTCTTTCTCTCTACAGCTAAACCATTCACTTCCAAAGTGAAGCAGATGCGCTTGCACAAGGAAGACTTTGAGATTCTTAAAGTGATTGGACGAGGAGCCTTTGGAGAGGTAATGTACCCTCTGGTTTTAAACTCAACCTAACCATGCAGCAATCTTTAACCATACAAGTTGAGAAGCTGCCATTTGGGTTTCCCCTTTTTTCTCTTTTGTACAGGAAACAGGTGTTATAGGTTAGTTTGGGGCATTTTCTTACGGATGCATCATCTGCAGTGAATGTTTTTTGTCTACTTGTCTGTTTTGACAGGAAACCTCTAAAAAATCTGGAGCTTCTTCCTTGAGGCAGAGATTTTGCAGTTTGATCTATGGACAATGCCTGCCAGTAAAAGGCTGTATTCTCTTGTACCTTTATACCTTAATACCTGAGTTATAAAAGGCAAGAGTGTTGTTGTGTTTGATAGTGGATTACTTTCTGCTGCATTCCAGTAGCAGTGCGTAGTATTGGTCTGCTGCATGAGCATGACTCTACTTGCAGCTTGAACAAAACTTTTAAATTCTTCTTCACACTTAACCCGTGAACAGTAAATGAATTGCCAGCGAAACCATCCACTGTGGGTTTACATGTATTTGTTTATTTAGTTTTTGCTGTTATGTGTGCCTGTAGGGTGGTTGAAATACATTTGTCACTGGGTTTCAGGTAATGATGTCAAAGCTGCGGAATGTTGGAGGGACAGGTATTGTCGTCTTCAGCCAAGATTCTTGCATAACGTCAGTGTCCTGCAGAAACCTTGTATCTTCATGCTGACAGTTTTCACCGTTGCACAGAATTGATTTGACAATCACATGCCTCTTTAATAGATTCTGAGAAATTGGTGGGCTTTCAGCGCTGAATTGATCATCTTGAGCTATGCTACACGCTGCCAAACATTTCATCTCTGAAACTGTTATCCCACATCTGTACAAACAAGTTGGGGAATTCCTGAGGTCCTTTTTAAAAGCACTCAGAGAGGCAGAGAGAGACAGAAAAAAATCAAGAAAGTGATAGATTGATGGATGAAGATAGACATGGACACACCTGCCAGCATGTAGCTGCATTACCACCACAAAATGCTAACATGCACACTTGAGACCCTGAAAGGAGTGCTGGTATGTGCATGTGTAAGTCATGTGTCTGTGTGCGTGTGTGTTTCAGGCGTGTTGTGCTCAGTGATGTGGTGCGATCCATGAATGGTGCTACCTTGTGGGGACATTCCAGTGCCTTTTCACTAAGTCAGCTGTGCTAGTATGAGTTTTTCGTGACAGAAAAATTTTGTTAGCTTGACAGACATCATGATTGTCCCATTGCTCCATTTTGTAATCACCTGATAAAAAAAATATTTGCACAGTGTGTTGTAATTTGGATGTTATTGTAATGGCTTACTAAACTAGACCAATTCTTTATTTTGCACTTGTTCTATTTCATTTTCCTTGTCAACATAATCTTTCTCTTTCCATTGAGAGTTTTAAATATCAGATTAAGGCAGGACTTACTGAAATTGCAAGAGGACTTTGCACCTGTGTAAATTTCTGTACAAAGCAGGAAGAATAAAGATAGTGTCACATTCTATTTTATGTTCTAATTCATTTGAAACTTTGGCGGGCTTGTAGTATCATTAAATAAACAGAACTTAAATGGCACTGAATATACAGACCTATACCCTAAACAATGTTTTCAACAGCAGTCTGACAGCATACGTTTCTGCAAGTTTGTAAGTGCAGATGCCTTAAAGGGTTTTTTAAGGTGGGGTTGTATGAAGTACTTATTGAAACGTAGTATTACCTGAGTATGTATTACCTACAGTAGATAGCCAGCACGACCCCAGTTTGGAGACGCAGACCGAAGTACCGGCATGCAGGTGAAGCAATGCTGTGTTATGGTTGAGGGGGAGCAGCAAAATATACAGTACTTTAGCACCTAAAAAAAATCCATTACAGTTTACGCTATATTTAGAATATTTTCACCTTACCTTGCTGTCAGACAACCTTTTCTGATGGGGAACTGAAGCCGTATTGCTCTCTTCAAAGCCAACTAGACTCCTTTTACAAAAACAGTCATTTTAACTCACAGAACATGGGAGTTGCTGGTGTACCACTACCTCAACCCCACTTCCCCACTTCAAAAAAAAAGTCCGGACTAACCCTTTAATGAGGCACCCGAGAGGTGTTGCAAACCCAGTTTTTCTTTATGGCTGTGGCATCACAAAGTTTGGAAGTTTGACTATATTCCAGTTGGATGACAGTAATACCAGCCATCTGACCTAAGGTCAGACCAAGCAAAAAATGTGTGTTTTGGGAAGGCCTCATGAAAATATAAGGGAATGATTTTTTTGTCAACACTTATGGAGATTTTTAAGAAAAGTGAGCACATATCTGCAACAGAGATATGGGAAGAGAGAGAGTAACACAGCTGAAAAGAGAGAGAGAAAGACCCAGGTGGGCAGACACAGGAAAACAAAGTAAAGAAAAATACTTGAGTTAGAAAGGGAGGCGATAGGGTTTGAAAGCAGGATGTTTTGATTTCATCCTCCCATTGTCAGCTGCAGGCAGAGAAATGGCGCGGGTGTGTGATGCTGTGGAGCTCGTCTGATGAATGGACCAGTGTGTACTGGCATCCTGCCCCTGAGAATGCTCCCATTAGCACTCTTCCCCACCACAAACGGGCCAAATGGTGCCCAGTCTGGTGGAGCTCAGTGGACAGTGTTTGATACAAACAGTGCCAGGGTGAGAGGTTCTGCTTCCAATGACTACCCTCGCTTAAGATGTATGTCATAACAATATACTGTTAAATTGTTGTGTATTCATAGGCCATTAGTCAATGTTATACTTCATGACACTGCTTGTTGCCGTGGGGCAAAAAACACTTATTGAGAATGTTAGTCAGCAGCCAAATGCCTGTAAATCTGTCCTTGGCTATTAGGCCCGTCAGTTTTGCAGCCATTTTGGCAGATAGCTAGTGTGTTTTCAGTCTCTCTCTGCCACTCTTTAAAGTACTTGGCCTGTGGAATAATTAGATTAACTGCTGTGGTTTATTTCATGCCTGTTCCGAACTGATAAAACCAAGTTTGAAGACTCAGTCGACACCCTCAAATAACAAATCATATTCAGCAGCTACACAAAGTACAAAAAACCCCTACAATACATAGTTGTATCCATCAATATAGACAGTAGTAGTGAAGTAAACTCTGTATATAGTCTTTCTTGGGCCCCGTAGCAGACACCAGGCCTGACACGGAGAACTAGATGAAGGAAGGAACAGTGGAGAGAAGAAAGGAGAGATGGAGAAACGGACAAAAACAGCCAGGCGTTGCCAAGAACTGTGCACCCCCCCCCCCACCCCCTGTCCTCCTCTCTTCCTTCTCCATTCCTCCTCTCCTCTGGTGAGGGATCACTAGGGGAAATCCAAACACTGCAGGAATGTTATCATTGTATTGCATTAGCAGCATTCCCCGGCTCATTTAATAGACTACAGACCCCTCTGTTGCATGGGGCGCCTGTGTTTGTTTCACTCCCAATCGGTGGGTGTGTGTGTGTGTGTGCAGTGCACTTATAAAGTTCGGTCTGTGTACTTGCACAAAGTGTTTTTTTCCTGGACTATTTATGCTTATTTTTGTATGCAATTAGCCATTAAAGAGGCCAAATTAAAAATGAACTTCTGCTTTTTGGATTAATAGAATATTTCAGAAATCTAAAGGAGGCTGACAGAAATCAGCCAGGATGTAAGTCTGCATGAGCATGTGCTTTGGCTGTCAGCTTGCAGTGGTTTGTCACAGCAGCTTGTGCAGCTCCTTTTTTGGCAAAATGTGAAGGCTGGAGCTGGGGAAGCTTGTCATGGTAATGTTCAGCAATTATCAGCAAGGGGAAAGTTGGCAGTTGTTATGTTGTTAAGACGGTACAAGAGGGTATGAGAAACACAATGGGAGAGTGTGAAAAGCTTAGCAACGTAAGTTGGTAAAGGTCAAAAAGTATTTAAGTGACAGGCTAACGATTGCAGCTACTGAGATCTCCACTAGTGATCTCAGATATTTACTCAATCTTTCAGATGGGTTGATTTGGTTTAAATATGGGTTTAGTGTGTGAGATTGCAGTAGAAAGGTTGGAGGGTGCAGAGCCTCATTATTCAGGGTTTAATCAGTCATTTTCAAGTCCAGCTAAACTGTCAATTTTACATATTGTAGGTCATAACTGTGGCTAGTATTGAACTGTATACATGTTTGTGCACATATACTAAAAACAGGCTATACTGTATGTGTGCTGTGTGATAACATCTGTATGTGAATTTGCATGCGTGTATAGGTTTGTGATATAAGATGATACAGTGATGCACCTGGGAATTAAAATGTTAGCTGGTTTTTGAAGGTTAAATAAGTTGTTTTGATAGTTAATGGCACGCAAAGCTTTTGTGGCTTGTTTGTGATTTTAATAGTGAAGACCACATCAATACTGAGTGAGCAGCGACTTCCTTCCAAACCATCACATCTGCACAAATCTGTCCGTCCGCTATTGATCTGTGCCCATTTACAAATCATTGGACACCGTGATTAGAGGAGTGTCCAGATATTTCTCTCAGACTGCAGACTTTGCTTGTAGGAAGCATGAATATTTAAGGCTCTGTGTGTGTGTGTGTGTGTGTGTGTGTCCGTGTCCGTGTCCGTGTCCGTGTGTGTCCAGGTGGAGTGCATCTGTTGGCCCTTTAGGTCGGCACTTTAGTGTCTGTGGTCACTTCCTGCCCTGGCTTTTCCCTTCCCCTCCTTGGCTCTACCCTGCTTACCCCAGCTCTCTCTACCACAGCTTCTCCTTCCTCCAGTCTCCTTCCCCCCTGCTCCCTCCTCCTGTCCTCCTCCAATATCCCCTCCAATATCCCCTCTTTTTCCCTTCCTGTTAAACTTCATCCTGTTTCATGATACGACAGATCTTTCTCAATCTTGTCCTCCACCCTGCATCTTATCTTGTTTTGCTAATGATTTTTATGTGCTGAGATGACCTTCATCTTGTTTTTTATTGTTCTACTACAACACAACTTTTTCAGTAAAAGAAAATGATGGCTACAATCTTAATCATTGTTATTAATCATGATGGTTCAAAGAGGTTTTTTTTGCACTTTCTAAATAAATTGTTATTTGTAGGACTATGAAATATGATTACAGATGAATTATCATTGTGCAGTTCTTGCATTTGTTTTTCCTGTCTCTTCTGGTATAAGATATTAAATCTGTCTGGTATTTTCCTATTGGTCTGTGTTTTTAACGTGCTTCACATTCTTTGACCAGCTTTGCTGTCACACAAATGATTAAAACAGTTTGTTTTAACACTCCAACTCTTCTGTTTTTGCAGGTTGCAGTCGTAAAAGTGAGAAACACTGACAAGGTATTCGCCATGAAGATTCTCAACAAGTGGGAGATGCTTAAGCGAGCTGAGGTGAGATTCACACTCTGGCTTTGAACATTTTTGGTGGCATGCACCAGTTCTACTGGTTTTGGATACCGGACTATTTCAGCAGTGTTGCAGAAATCTTTAAAGAAAATAATATTTATTATTTAATTAAAAAAACAAAGTGTCTGCTGTCAAGATAAGCCACAACCCTCATTTATCCACCCTCAAATCAGGCCATCATTGATAAATGCTTGCAGAACACGTTGCTGCTTGAGCTGCATGTTTTTCTCATCGACCTCTTCCTGACAGTCTGACATTCCTGTTGGTCCCATGGGTCTTCAATCTTCATGCCTCATACGTCACAGGCCAGAAATGGTCATTGTGTGTGTGTGTGTGTAAACGCCTGGACATGGGAAACAATGTAGAGCAAGAAATGTACTGTATACAGTGGACACTAAGCATGTAATCGTTGTTGTAGACAAGGAACATCAAAGATTGTAAGTGTTTTAAATACTGTGCAAAGTTAGAGGCCATATTTAGATGGTGGAGTTGATTTATATTATAAATCCATTTACCCAGCAGTGATAGATAGATAGATAGATAGATAGATAGATAGATAGATAGATAGATACCTCTGTCTATGTGAAACTGATCAATAATCAGATTCCCTCTCTATATTGTACTGCATTTTTGAACCAATGCAGCCATATTTGAAGTCCATGAGTTATGTATGATGTTGTAGCCTGAGGAGTTTTTGGTCGAGCATTTGGACTGACAGAACAGTGAAAGGTCAGGGTGTGTTTTAAGACATCACACATGTTTTTTGTGCGTTTCACTTTTACAAAAACTCTGTTTAGCCGTGGAAGCTTATTTTAGTTTAAATTTTGTTTTGTTGGATTTTGAATTGAATTATTTTGGATGCAAAGATCCATCGCTAAGTGACAGTCTTTCCTTTTCTTTGCACTGCTATTTCAGTACAGTTTTCATGTCCTGGGTCTTTATTAGATGCACTCTAGTTAACCTTAATTGAATTCTAAAAAGGTTTTATCAGGTTTCTCAAGCAAAAATCTAGCTGTGTTAATCAGGTTTCATTCAATTAAGGGGTTTCCTGTTTACATTATGTGTAAGAAATCAGGTTATCGCAGATTGACTAGGTTACGTAAATGTAAACACTGCCAGACAGCACTGAGCTACAAGATTAGCTAGCAACTCCATGCTAAGATGTCCTCGAGCCTCAACATTGAATCCCTCTTAGCTCCAAGCATCTGGTTCTGTAGAAGATCCTGATGTTTGACCTCTTACTAGATGGAGCCAGAAGTGTCTTGCACCAGAGAATGTTAGAACCAGGATTGCATGACACTGATGAGGAAGGCATTCTGGTTTTCTTGCTCAGGACACTGCATGAAAAATCCTCTCCGATAGAGGGTTAAGTGGTGTAGGTGTAACATGGTTATAAATATAGATAACTGGCACATATGCTTGACACATTCTCACACGTACAACTGAAAACTGAACTGCTATTCTCTCATATTGTTGTCAGTATGTGCAACATTTTATTCTTGGGTATAAACTTTATTGCATCTTTCTTTAGACGGCATGTTTTCGGGAGGAGCGAGATGTGTTGGTAAACGGGGACTGCCAGTGGATCACCACCCTGCACTACGCCTTCCAGGACGACAATAATCTGGTAACATACCGTTCTCTTTCTTCTTCTCTCTGTATGTGTGTGTATATTCATGAGCAGGAAATGGACTTTTTTCCACCTACCACCACAAGTGTATTTCCAGAGCTTTTCTTGGGGAACTTTTAACCTTTTACTTATCTGATGTATCAGACTCCTTACTTCATACATTTCAGCACATTCAAACTTTGGTACTTTCCAAAGTAACAACCACAGTCTTCTACTGCGTAGCTCCACCTGCCACTTTCACCATTACACTGGCCAGTTCATTTATAGAAAACAGCACCACCTCCGCATAATGGCTGGTGACCTGCCAAAGGCTGACCAGCACATTCACTTCTCACCACAAAACACAACATGACTTAGAATTGTAGGAAATTGGGCAACAGAAGGCAACACGGGCAAAAAAACATTTATGTAAAAGACCAAAAGAATGACTTTGGAGCTCACTGACTGGTTGTAGGCCAGGCTCTTTCTCGCTTTGATTGGCTGCTGGAGGCAATCGTTCTTTCTCTAACCTGACAGTCTGTCCTCTCCCTGTGACCCTGAGTTCAAATGCCAGGACTGCTTGCCATTCCATTTCCCACATTCTCACAACAAATGCTTTACCCTGGACACTCCCCAGGGCTTTAAAAATATACACCGCTGCCCGTCCAGCCAGTCTATTTTTAGGAAAAGCCTCAAAAGTTAAGAACCATTTAGGCCTCGCTGCCTCAGTGCCCCTCTGTAGTAATGATACTGTGAGAAAAAATGGGAGAGGAGAGTGGGGGAATGGAGGGCGGTATATTTTTGACTTTCTTGTGAGAGTTTCTTGTATTGGTTTCTAAATAAATCATCTCACTGATTCACACTACACTGATCTTATTTCTAAATTGTGTGCTTCTGTTCTGCACCTTTTTGTTAATTTCTTTTCCAGCACCTGTCATTGATATTTATCTCATCTCTCTCGTGTTAATTCTCTCTGTCTCTTTCCCTCTCTAGTACCTGGTCATGGACTACTATGTGGGTGGTGATCTGCTGACTCTACTCAGTAAGTTTGAGGACCGGCTGCCGGAGGAGATGGCCAAGTTCTACCTGGCAGAGATGGTGCTGGCCATCGACTCCGTTCACCAGCTACACTACGTCCACAGGTGAGGAGCAGGCAGAATGTGTGTGTCTGTAATTATTTTTTGGAGAGCAACAGACTGAGCTGATGATGGATGTTGACTGTGTTTACATTATTCTTGCTGCGTGGGCATTTTTTCAGCTGTGGGGAGCCACTGCAGCTAAATGAAAATAAATGAAAGTAGTGGGGAGTGTGTGTGTGTGCACATGTTTGTCTTCAGTCAAGGTGAAGGTAGTCAATACCGCTGACTAATTATAGAGTATATTAGTTTGTGTTCCTGTGTGTGTTATTATTTCATTCTCGAACATTCACATTTGTGTGTGTGTGTCTGTGTGTGTGTGTGTGGATTTTATTGCTTTAGAAAATAAGAAGTGCTGTAAGAGTTGCTCAGACTTAAGTACCAACACCACATGTCATTACAAGTAAAGGTGCTGCATTCAAAACCCTACTTAAGTAAAAGTGTAGTAGTATTACCAGCAGCATGGACTCAAAGCGGCTATAATCAATATTTTTATAACAATGTGACAATAATAATGAGCCAGTAGGTAGAGACCAAAAAGAGAGCTAAAATGAATATTGGACTTCTATTCATCAGGTGGCTATAAACACGACTTCAAATGTGTAAATAAGCAACTGTTCACCATATCAACTTATATATATCAATAATATATCAATGTTATGTGTTCACAACTTGTTTCAGCTGCCCCCAGGTGGCCAAAAATTCACGTATTGCAGGTTTAAAGAATCAAGAGTAAAAGTAGTAAAAAGCATTAATGGCCTCTGATGACACTTACCAAATATAAAAAATATGACAGATTGTGGAGCTAGCTTTAACTACTTTATATGCAGTCAGGTAGTTTAATACAGTACTCAAACTGTTCTTTAAGGTTTAGCCGCGGGTTGCTGCAGAGCGTCTGCATGGTGGTCGGCTTAATGGTTGCCGCAATTTTTGTGTTATTTAGATTATTTTAGTAGCTGCCCTGCACAGCCTTTTTACAACACACTTACTTCTATCCATTCCTGTGTTCTGGTTACCACTGCTTTTAAAGTTGAAGGCCTGGTTTAACACTGCTGCTACCTGCTACGGTTGCCCAATGTTTTGTGTGGATCGAGTGCGACACCGTGCCCCCACTGGCCAGGGGCTTGACTTGATTCAGAGCATTTAATGAATTGATATTGAATTGGGAAAATACTTTTACCCACCCCTAATCTTAATCGGAAAAGTAACTAGTAATTATACCTGTCAGATAAATGTAGTACAGTAAGAGGTACAATATTTCCCTCTGAAATGTACTGGAGGACAGTACAGGAATAAATATACTTACTTTCCACCACTGTTATTGCTCATTTTACATTCAAGTCTCCGCAATGTTTTCATTAACTAATTTCACTGAATTAAACCAAATTTAAAACAAACTGTTCCCACCCCATCGCTCTTGAAACCGTTTTCTTCTACAAGATAGATGCTAAAAGTTGTTTTCAGCCAATAGAAGATCCCCTTTGGTAGCAGGAAGTTGGGCTTTACCAGATAGGAAGTGGCATGTTAACACAATTATAATCTTTCTTTCGCCGGGGACTCGTCACAGCAATTTTGTTCAAGGGAACAAGGGGAGGATGGATAGACGAAGGGAAAGATGAGAGATGGATCGAGAACAAGGGAGGGTCAGAGAAAGGGTAGGATAAAGCAAGGCTACTTGGTGCGAGAACGTTTTGGGTGTGTCTGTAGTTGCTCTGATCTCTAATACGCCACTGGAAAGTCAGACGGAAAGAGGCGCGCTGAGAGACGACGGCAGAGTTATAGAGAGATGTAGATATAAATGTATATGTGAAGAAAGGGAGTGAATGAGAAGAGAGCGGGGAGCCACTAATTGCATGGTGTTATCTGGGGGCCGTGGGTGGGGGTTGGCGGTGACAGCGGAGACGGAGGAGTGGATAGAAGGAAATAAGGACAGGGAGGAGGGGACAGCACTGTTTCTCTTTAAGTCCCCTCGTGGACGCTTTGGGACAGTAATGATGGGGTATGGGAGGTGTGTGGGTGGGGGTGTGGTGCTGTTACCTCCCCCAATGTACCAACCCCCCAACTCCTCCTTTGCTCTCTCTTCTCACTTAACACACGCACTCGTGAGAGATTTGTATGCTTGCTTTGTAGAGGGTGGAGACGTTTAGGCAGGTCCCCTGAGGAGGGTGTGTCCTGCTGGCTAGGCCCGTCTGATGAGTGTGTATATGTGTGTGTGAGTTTGGGTGCATGTGCATGAGGGTGTGTTGTTTATCTCGGTGATGGTGTGTATGTGTGTTTCCTATTCTTATGACTAAGTTAGAGTACAATGCATTAACCCTATAATTTAAAGACTCTAATGTCCATTAAACACAAAACCATCCACCCTCTACTCATGGCTCAGTGACCCCACACACACACACACACACACACACACACACACACAACCATCTCACTGTTGGGGAATATAAATGGGTAGGTTGTGGCTGTACTTTCTCTTGGGAATCGCAACTTTTAATGGCCTGTGATGCCAGTTTCCTATTAGCAAAGTCCTTAAAAATACCCTATTGGCCAAATATAGAAGACGTCCCTCTACCACTTTTACGCGTATTGTCACATTTCAATGAAAATACAGAAGCCAATTATAAGACAATATGTCAAACTATAGTCACTCTACTTTTCTAATTTCGATTTATAATTTATTAACCAGTGGATACAGATTTACTGTTGTAAGCTTTTATCCTTTTAACAGCTACAATATCAGTCAGCCTAGTCCTGAGTTTTCCCAGACTAAGGGTAAGGTAGTCAGCATGAATCGCATATCTCTGCTGCTAGACATTCCTTCATTCTCTTAATTATTACACTCGTGGAAGCGCTCAGAATGTTTTTTTCAGGCAGTTATCAATATCTCCTCTTGAGTTCCTCATCATGACATTCAGTTACACTGGAAATTCTTGGCTGCTTGACAGATGATTCAGTCTCAAGTGAGTTTCAGCTCTAAAGACTCGTTGCATTTCCTCCATGTTAGCAAATCACGCTACACGAGCCTTAAGAAGCTCCTTTATGTTAAACTATTTTCAGGCCAATATGGTAGTTGTGGGTTAGAATGTAAAATAGATCATGAGCTAATGTTTGATGTTTTCTGGGTCTCTGGATGGGACTGAGTTTTCCTTTTGGTTTGCAAAGGGTTGAAAGAAAAAGAGAGAAAACATTTACATACTCCTGTCATAATAATGCAAAGAGGAATATTTCACTGCCCTGTCATCGACTCCAGATCCCCATCAGGGTTCTTCCTAACATTCAAGTAGCATCCCAGACATAGTACACAAGACATGGTGCTTCAATATGTTTATATCACTGCCTTATTTGTGCTGTTTTGTAAAGCTGGAATGGCTGTTTAGTGTACTGTTTGATTTTATGTGTCTGCATGTGTGGCACTCCATTGTCTGTCGTTTCTAGAAATTATGAGGAAGCCCTAGTGCCTATTCATGTGCAACATTGCCCCAATGGCCTAATACAATCAAATATATTAAAGGGATGGCTTTCTCTGTAGAAACAATCTGGCATTTTAGGTCACCTAATTCTTTGCTTTTTTCCTGTGTTGTGAAGTAGTTGACTTTGCCACAATGCTGGCCCATTTAAAATTAATATTTGCCGTCCTGTTGACACTGATGAAGTTAAAAAGAGCCCAGATGAATAAAGTGAAGAGCAAAGAGCCTTGAGGTCAACCTTCTGTCCCCCTCGGCTGAGTCCCATGAGAGGCAGCGTGTGTTGGAGTCAGACCCGAAGGGAAGACTGCGTGTGTATGTGTTCATTTATTCAGTGGTCAGTGATCTGCGTGGCCTCCCAGAGGGGCCTGAAAAACATTTCAATAGGCCAACTCAGCATGGCTTTGTGCTGCCTAGCACCACATCTGTCTGCCATGGGACTGTGTGTGTGTGTGTAGAGGGGAGGGGATTTGTTTTGTTCATGGAGTGAGAAAGATGAATAACAAGACATACTTGCATTTAATAAGATGTCATGTGAGGGTGTGACCGTTGACATCTGTTCTGAGTGGGGTCTTACTACTGTAGAGTACTCTGTAATTGTGTGTATGTGTGTGCTCATGTGTGTTTTCCTATTGATTGCTGCCTTTGTCTGTTTTATTATTGATCAGGGCCATGTGTCTCTTCACAGCCCAGTGATCAAAGAGAACTGGGCTCCCTCTCTCCTCCTTACACACATTTAAACATCATTTATCAAAAAGCTTCATTCACATTCTATATACAAGTCTATAATTGACTTCTTTGATGTTAGAGGTTTTCCCCAATTTGAATGAAATGGACACAATATTTTAAAAGTAACCCTGTGATTGGGAGGAGGTGTGTTTGCGTGTGTGTGCGCTTTGTGTGTGTGTCGGTATCAAGTGATGCCAGAAGTCACACAGGCAGCAGTTCTTTGAACCATTAGTTAACAAATGCTGGGCTCGAGCCATGTGGACATGCCTAGTCTGTGCAGTTTCCAGTGTTGCCGTGTGTGTGTGT